AAAAAAAAAAAAAAAAAAAAAATAAAAAAAAAAAAAAAAAAAAAAAAAAAAAAAAAAAAAAAAAAAAAAAAAAAAAACAAACAATAATTTCGAAAATAAATAAAAAAAAAAAAAGATGTCACTTGCGAATCTGTCTCCTGACCCTTTTTTTTCCTCCAACTATTAGAATTTTCTCGGAGAAATTAAAAAAAAAAATTCCATAGTCTCCAGACTTATCAAATGGAAAAAATAATTTCTCCACAAAATTCCAAAATTAAATTATTCACAATAAACAAATAATAAAAATCACAATCAAAACATCGTATGCAAATGTATGCAAGTAAAAAGAAATTCGAATATGATCGCTCTTTTTGATTATGTTCATAATGTTCCATATTAGAAGTTAGGAGATTCTATTCTATATATTTATACACACATGTGTATGTATATCTATATTTATATTTATATTATATAAAAGAGATCCATTGTATCGGAATTTTTTTCTATAAATAAAAAATTTTTTAAAAAGTTGAAAGAAGATTGAGATCAGGAGATTGTATTGTTATCTCGTGAAGGTTTTTTTTTTTTTTTTTTTTTTTTTGAATCAAGTTTTCGATCATAACGAGAACAATCAAATATGAATTTAATGGAGAGAGTACAAACGGTATTTTCAAGTGATTATAAGTATTCGCGGAACAAAAAAAAAATGTAAAATGCGGAAAATCGTTACCGAATTTCTTGTTTGCAAACAGGAAATTAATTTAATTGGTTAATCAGAAATCAAGAGAGAATTTTTTTTACCTGTCATTATCTGTTAATATGCATCACTATATGCATTTAATCTAAATATCGTTGACGTGTACTAAATATCCTCTTTGATAAATTTCAAACTTCCAAAAGATTTTAACGAAATAAATATTGATTTTCTTGTTAAATGACGATAGACCGTCATCGACTTTGGGTAAAACTTTTATACTGTGAATTTCATCGGGCATAATTTATTCCTTTGGGTGTAAAATGCTGTCATGCTCTCATTATTTATTTGATTTGATTTACATGAAATAGCTTATTTATTGATATTTTTATATGATGCAATACTTGTATTACTTTTAATTTACAAAAAGGTTATTATAATAATAAAAAGGAGTTATAATCGGCAGTTTAAAAAAATTTGATTATATAAGTTCTAAATTTTGCTTGGCCCTCCCTAAAATTTTTTTATAAAAAAAAATAAAATAAAATTTGATCATACCCAATTTTTTTCTTCTCCCGTGAAGTGTTTATCAAACAATTTGATTTTTAATACCTTTTAATACTTTTCAATCCCCTTCTTGTATTTTTTTTTTTTTTCACATAATAAAAATGTCACAAGTAATAAATGTATCCACAAATATCTCAAATTCATTATTATTAAAAAGTAATGAATTATCCTTGAAATTACAACAATCTTATTCAAATGCAATTGAAGAAATTGCTCTCGAAATGAATGTTGAGTTTATTAACTTCAACGAATTTGCCAACGTTAGCGAAATAAAAAGTGATTTATATGGTGATAATGTGAGAAAAGCCGTATGGAAAGAAAAATTATGTCCCGTTTTCTTAAAATCCGTCCCCGGATATAGTATTGAAGACCACCATAAAAAATTGATTGAAGAGGTAAACTCCCCTGACCACAATCATTTTATACCGCTGTGCACGTCTTTTTCTCATTGCGAGAAAATAAAATTTTTTTAAAAAAAACTAATTGTAAATCTTCTAATCTTTGATGCTAAATAGATTCGACGTGCGTCACTGAATCAGAACTGTGAAAATATAATACAATTACTCGGAGTATCCGAAGGTATGCACCATCCTTTTATGCATATATGTGAGAAAAAAAAACATTATGGTTTGATTAATATTTCGACAAAAAAAAAAAATCCTTTTAGATCCATCAGATAAAAGCGCCATACTTGTAATACAACATCCTAACGATGGTACTCTAAGAGAATATTTGGCTCGGCACCCAAATTTAGAATGGTTCAAAAAGTTGAATTTAGCTAAAGACATCGCTCAAGGAATCAGACATTTACATCGATCAGGATTTGTTCATGGAGATTTGGTTAGTTTTTTTTTTTTTTTTGCCGTATCTCATTTTACCAAACTGAATATTTATCATTTAATTATTATATTTAGCATGCACAAAGTGTTTTTATTGACGACGGCAAAGCGGTTATCAGAGACCCGGGATTATTCGGTTTTGAAGATGACGAAACATCATCATCATCATCATTAAATAGCGCAATACTTTCCACGATACCATACGTTGACCCACAAGTTATGGGAGACATGAAACATAAACCTGACCAACGTTCAGACATTTATAGCTTAGGCGTAATCTTGTGGGAGATATCTAGTTGTAAACCACCATTTGGCAAATCTGGAAGCCAAGTTATACTTACAATGGCCATAATGGTCAGAAAAACCCGCGAACAACCCGTCCCAAACACTTCTGAAGAATATATACAGTTATATCAACAATGTTGGGATCATGAACCCAACTTGAGACCGAATATTGAACAAATTTGTGATCAATTAGATGGTATCCCATACGATGATCCCGTTAAAGTTGGAAATAGCGTGATTATTGCTGGTAATTGTCATATTGAATTTTTAAATTAAACGAATGAAAAAAAAAAAAAAATTAAATAAATTTATTTATTTATTTTTAGATATAAGAGCGTCATCTGAAGAATCAAGAAAATCTCATGATTACCTACACCAAATTTCTTCACAAAATTCACAAGATTCACAAGACGAAGTAAATCAAGATTCAATGGCCGAAAAACCATTACCATTACAAGTTCCGATATCCAAATATCAAGACGCTAATTTAAGGTAAATAATATATCTTCTATACTTATATCTATAAAATCTTTTATAATACTTAAAACCAATTTTCTTTTATGTATTTAGCGAACCAATATCTCCGGATACAATAGCTAGAATGGATAAAGAATACGAAGAGTTCAAAAAACAAAAAGGATTGAAGAAATTTAAATCAAAAATCTCAAAAATATTTAAGAAAATGTCGTGTTTTTCGTAAAATAACATTTTTAACATTTAAATTTTCATTATAAGCACTCAACTTCATTTTTCTCTTCCTCTCTCTTAGAATTTTTTTTTTTTTGTAATTTTATAATTTGTATATTTTTCTTGCATTTTTTATTTTTTTTTATCACATTTCATGGCAATTCTTCAAAAGAAAAAAAAAATAAAATAAAAATAAAATAAACCATTTCATTTCCATATGTCATGACTTTATATTGAATCAATTTTAAAACCAAATGCGTGAAAACGAGCTATGCGCTTTAGAAAGTGAGGCTTTACCTCGGATATTCTACGCCACGGTTATGTCGGGGTTTCACAACCATTCTCGCCCATCCTTACATTTTTGTACTTAACTGTTAAAGTCTATGAATTTATTTATGGAATGCAACAATATGACTTGGCGTCTCATACATAAAGCTTTCTTGGAGTGTAGACGGAAAATGATCGACAGGATGGATCATACCTGATTTAGAATCCCCTTGCATCATTTGACAATGCTTTTTGCTTATCATTATATATGAGTGAAAAAAAAAAATAAATAGAAAAACAACAAACTGTTAAGGTACTGTATAAAATAAAATGATTTAGTTAAAGGAATGATTTTTATGATAATAATTGCATGAATATTTAGTTTTAGTTTTCTTAACCAAATTCTTTAAAACCAGAAAATGTTTTCTTTAAATCAATTTTTTTAATAAAATTATCTTTGATATTTTAAATAAAATTGTGTATTATAAATAACAAGTTAGTTAATATTTTATTATTCATTAAACTTTAATTATATTTTATTAAACATTTTAATGATAATGGAATTTATTAAATATATTAAAAAACTAAATTTTTAAACTAATTATATTTCATAATAATCATATTTAAAGAATCATTATTGAATATAAAAATATAATCATTCTATATAATTTATTAAAATATATTAAAACTAAAAAAAAAATACATTAATTAATTATAAATTGAAAATTTTATATTAAAAATCTATCATATATAATTAAATTTTTATAAAAATTTTTATACTTCTATTAAAAGTTTTATAATACATAATATTTTACTTATATATTACTAATAAAAATTAAATTATTTTAGAGTAATTGGTTATAAATTTAATAAAATAATTTAAAACATTTCAAATCTATTACTATTAGTAATATATAAATTACATATAAAATATATAATAAAATTCATATAATATTTGTATATTTTTAAATATTTTATAGCTTTAAAATAGTATAAATTTTATTAGTAATTAATATAAATAAAATAAATTTAAAACTTAATTTAATTTATTAAATTTAAAAAGGTAAAAATAAATTTATGTAAAAATATTTATTATCAATAAATTGTTTAATTACAAATTTATTAAAAATTCAAACTATTAAAAGTAATTGAAATAAATATTATTAAAGATTAAATAATAAAAAAATTATATAATATAATAATCAAAAGTAAAACAATAAACTAAAAAATTAAAATCAATAAGTTATTTAAAAAATAAAAAAAAAAACAAGTATAAAAATAAATAAATAAAAAATAATATATAAAATTTTTTTAAAATACATTTTTTAAAAATTTGAAAAATATGTATTTAAGAAAATTTTTTATAATTTAAAATTGATAGAGATATATTTAGAAATAAAATATATAATATTTATATTTAAATTAATTCATAAAAAAATTTTATAAATGTTATTATAATAAAATAATGTTTTATTATTTTAAATAAATTTAATAAAATCTGATTAAAAGAATTAAAAATATATAAAATGAATTTATTAACTTTTTAAGATTTAAATAATAAAATTAATAATAAAAAATAAAAAATTTATAAAATTAAAAAATTGAAAAAGATGATTTTCTAATAAAAAAAAAAAAGTTTGATAAATAAATTATTATTTCTTTAATAGAAAGAATTTTTAATTAATTATTATATATAATTTATACTTTAATTTTATGATGTTTTTATAAAAATATAATATATATAAATATTTTTAAGTTAGTAATATATGGGAAGATTGCTAGAAAATCAGGTTCTAGAAAGTATTTAACAAAATTTTATTTTTATTGCATTTTAGTTTTTGATATTATTAGATTAAAAATATAATAAGGTTTTCAAAAAATTCTTAATGCCTGATTTTCCTATCAGATTTTCCATATGGTAAGATGTGAAACTTTAGATTTATATAAAAAATAATGTTTTAGTTAATTAATTTAATTATTTAATTTTAAAAACAATTAATTATTAGATTCATTATAATAGATTTCATATTTAAAAATTAATAAATATTATATTTTATGTAAATTACATTTAACTATAAAGTATAAGCATTATAATATGAATTTTTCAATAATGCCGGACATAAATATCACCTAGCTTTACTTTTTATTACATCTAATATTTCTAGTTGTAATTTTTAAAATTATTAGATTAGAAGAATTTTTTCTCGGAGCTCTCAGTAAAATTAAATGCACTTTTTCATAAACTTGACATTCTATTGATCTACCATTTTATCGCATGATAAATTGAGCATCATATGATTTAAGTCTTTAGATATCATACCACCACCCTAAAAAAAATAAAAATAATAATATATATTTAGACATGATGGCATTAAAATTTAACTCGTATAAATAGAATCTATGTTTCCTCTTATCAAGTCATCTAATATAATAACTTAACGAAATTCAAGAAAAAAAACTCGCTGAAAATGATCAATGGTATGAAATTGAAAATGGGATGCTCGATATTCAAAAGGATTCTAGACATTGGGAAAAATGTTCCATTATTACAAACGGCTTCTGCAATTGTGGAACAAATTCAAGTGCAACTCGAATTTCAAATAGAAAATGAAGAAATTCAGGAAGACATTAAGAAGAAAGTCTGCGAAGCGCAAAAACAACTGAGCGGTCATAAACTTGATGAAAGAAAATATAATCGAGCATACAAAAATTACATTGAAGTTTTAAAATATATTGATCTATATATCCAAGACATGGTGAATAAAGAAGGTCCGGATAATAAAAATAAAATTCAAAAGAAGCTCCTTTCTTTTGTAAAAGCTTCTAACGTGAGTATTGTCATTTAAAATGACCATCCCTTAAAGAGATTGTTTTAAATCAAACTTTACTTTATGCACACAGATGAATGAAGTTTATAGGGAACTTTTAAAGAAACTTAAAGATGCAATGAAAGAATTTCATTTTGAAATGGACATGGAAATGTACAGTATTATAGGTACTATAAGCGATAAAGTGGATTCTTTGATGAGCTTGGCTTACTTAAATAGAGGGTTTGATCCAAATCCCAAAGATGTGAAATTAATTATACTTAGTGACACAGACATCGAGGATCCTGATGATAACGACAAGGTAATTCGAGGTAAAAGTGGCCGAGTTCAAAAAAAATATTATAATGGGGAAGCAGTTGCTATAATAAAAGTTAAATATCCACAAAATCAAAATGAAGTAGAAAAGGTTAATAGAGCAGCTACATATCATTTGAAACTTAGTGCATGTAATTCGATTATCAGATTGTAAGTATTCTTCTATGTTAAATAGGGCTCGAATGCCTGCCAATTTTTCACGAAAAATTAAGATCTACAATGTTAGATTGTTCTTTTTTATCCTTATAGCAAAGGAACATTTGCTTCATGCGGAAATATGTATATTGTAACCGAATGGGCTGAATACGGGAACCTTGAACTGTATCTTCAAGAAGATATTGTAATTCCCTGGTCCGAACGCATTAAATTTTCAACACAAATTGCTTCCGCGATTCAATTCTGTCATAATAGTCAAATACTACATCATAATCTTCGTAGGTAATTAATTAATTGATTTGCTTATTAAGATTCCTAAGATCAAAATATTAATTAACTATTTTTTTCTTTGCAATACTAGTATAAATGTCTTAATTGATAAATACAAAAATGCTAAGCTAACTGGATTTGAGCAAGCTAAGTTTACTTTCGAAGGAACTCGACCTTTATCTGACCAAGATGGAATGCGGTAATCTTTTTACGCAACATTATTATGGTGTTTTCTATAGAAAAGAATTATCAGGCTGTTTGAATGACATATAGACTTATGAAGTAGTCCTTTTTTTTTTTTTTATAAAATATTGTTTTCTTTCTATGGAAACGCTTCAATATTCTTATTATATAAGTTTTGATATTTAATAAGAATTATCTTGTTTATAAAATAGGTATTATCCAATAGAACGATTTAAAGGCGAAACCCATATATGGTGTAAAAATTGTGATATGTATAGGTATATATAAGAATGCCGAAGTCAATATTTTATTAATAAATACACTAATTAGGGGTTCATTTTTTTCAGCTTTTCAGTATTGCTTTGGGAAATCGCTTCAAGAAAAAAACCATTTGAGAATATTTCAACCGAAAATTTATTAGAAATTTTACCGGAACAATTGCAAACTGGTAAAAATCCAGGCAAAATTGGTGATGATACGCCTCTAAAGTTTAAAAATATAATCGATAGTTGTGGCTCCTTAAAACAAGAAGATCGACCCAGTATTAAACAAGTTTCCAGAGATCTTAACACTCTATATCTCAATTATGAGAGACAATAAATAGGAGATCTTAATTTAAATTTTTACTTTATTAATAATTTTACAATTTAAATAACTTAAATATAAAATATAATATGTTTATCTTTGTATACGAGATAACGTAATATCAACTTAAATAATGCTTTCCTGTAATTTTATTTTAACCTTTAGATACATTGCGATTCCATTGCTTATCAGCAATATTAAATAGATTGGATTTTGATTTCCAATCAGATTTGAGCCATCCTGAAATAGATTTCACTAATTTCTCGGCGGTCGGACGTTTGTTTGGATCATCATCTAGACACTCTTTCATTAATTCGACATAGCAGTTTGGCGTCTCAGGAGGGAATTTAGGTCGTTCACCGCGGTAAATGTCAATTTTGAGATCAGTGCTATTGTAATTTTCAAAGGCACGATCATGCGAGGCAAATTCAGTCATTAGAATACCAATTGCATAAATATCAGATGCTTTTGATTTGGGATATTTCTTTAATAACTCTGGTGCTAAGTATGGAATATTTCCCGCAGGAGGATCATCAGATGATTTATTTTGAGATGCTTCTTTAGAATTTGCAGGTCGAGACAAACCAAGATCTGTGATGCAGATATCACTGGTATATTTTAAAAGTATATTCCCACAATGAATATCACCATGTACGTAGTTAAGCTGATGAATGCCACGTATGCCGTTACAAATAAAATACAAATACTGAAGTTTTTTCTGCCACTTCAATCGGTCTTTCCCTTGAACAAATAATTCCTTTTTAATATCACCTTTTGGTAGATATTCCATTACTAATATGTAATTCTTTGTATTTGGGTTTTGTGCGATTCCATAATATCTGCAAACTATCCAAATATCTGACCTGTGAAACTCGATATTGGACCTTAACTGATAAAATATAATAATGCCTAAGAATATAATTGAAAAATAATACAATATAAAGATACATATGAATGAAAAGTTACCTCATTAAGGTATTCTTGATCAACATGTTCTGATTGATTGATCTCCTTTAATGCAACGGTACATGGTTCGCTACGAGTTTTGATCCAAATCCCATCATCTTGTTTTTTTGCAATTCTAATGCCATCAAGCCAAGTCGCCTTAAAAACTACACCGAAACCACCTTCTGCTATTTTTTCAATATCTTTAAAACGATCATAATGAATGAATTCCAAATAATTGTAATAATCCGGAGCCGAACTTTGGGATTCCCGAATTAATAGATTTATATTGTCATTTCCAGTTGTCCATGTATTAAATTTATCATTAAGTTCTTTTCGATCGCATGTATCGCACCAAGCAGGGGCATTGAATTCATTTTCGCATCTTGGGCAAGTACCGAAATTTGGATAATTTTCGTCAATATCTAAATCCATTACTAATAAGAAATTCTTTGTATTTGGGTTTTGCGTGATTCCATAATATCTGCAACTATTTGAACTGTAAAAATCAAATTCGGCTTTTAAATTACAAATAAATGATAATACCTAAAAAGAATAATTGAATCAATATATTGCACCACATTTTAAAGATTAGACAAATATGAAAGATTACCTTATTAATGTAGTCTTGATCAATATTTTCTGATTCCTTTATCTCTTTTAATGAAACGACATATGGTTTACTACGAGTTTTATACCAAATATCATTATTCTTTTTCAATTGATTTATAAACTTTTTCTTTGTGATTCTAATGCCATCAATCCAAGTCGCCTTAGAAACTTCTCCGAAACCACCTTTTTTTATAAATTTAATATTCTTAAAATGGTCGTAAGGAATGAATTCCAAGTAATTTTCATAATTCGGAGCCAATCTTTGGGATACCTGAATTAATAGATCAATATTTTCATTTCCTGACGACCACATATCAAATTTATCAATAAGTGCTTTTCGATCGCATGTATTGCACCAATCAGGGGCATGGAATTCTTTGTTACAATTTGAGCAAGAACCGAAATGTGGATAATCCATTATTAATGAGAAATTCTTTGTAATTGGGTTTTGTGTAATTCCATAATATCTGCAATTATCTGACCGGTGAAACGCGATATAGGCCTTTAACTAATAAATAAATAATAATACCTAAGAATATAATTGAAAACTTAGGATTGGATAAATATTGAAAATCACCTCATCAATGTAGTCTTGATCAATATTTCCTGATTCCTTAATCTCCTTTAATACAATGGCACATGGCTCACTACGAGTTTTTTTCCAAGTTCCATTAACTTTTTTTATGATTCTAACGCCATCATTCCAAGTCGCCTTAGAAATTTCTCCGAAACCATTTGCGATTCTACTTCCATCAAGCCAAGTCGCCTTAGGAATTGCTTCAAAACCACCTTCTCCTATATATTTAATATCTTTAAAATGATTGTAAGGGATGAATTCCAAATAATTGTAATAATCCGTAGCCCATCTTTGAGATTCCTGAATTAATAATAATATATCTTTATTTTCAAATTTATCAACAAGTGCTTTTCGATCGCATGTATCACACCAAGCTAGAGCATAGCAAGTTTTTTTGCAGCCTGGGCAACGACCGAAAGGTTTTTCATTATCGTTACTATATAAATCTAAACTATCTAAAATATCAAATTGACTTTCGGACAGCATGTTTCGATTTTAAGTGTGAAAAATGTTAGTTACTAGGATGTGATTGTTATATTTTATATTTATTCAAAGAGCAAATTGCAAGATAATCAGGTGGCCTGGTATCATACTATAATTGTGAATCAGCTGATTGTCCGAAGAGAAAATATTGGATGGTTTTTTTTTTAAGAAACGAGACATTTCTTTAGATGAAATAATGCAAACAAAATCACATGGTCATATAGTATTTTCGACTATATAAAAAAGCATTTAGGTCCGATACTCCGATACAACAAAGCCTTTCATATCTATTTGCGATTGTTAAAAATTTTATCGTACGATTTGTACAGAACTGGATTACACGAATTATTCTGATTCCTATCACACGTTGACAAGATCCAATATCGGATGATATTCTTAGTAATTTCGTACTGCTCCGCGGAGATATTATTGGCGGGAAACATTTGCAATAGTTGCCTATCTTAATAAGTTACTTTGTTCTATCACGCAATTACGAAATAACAACAATAATTAATTACTGCTTACGTATTTTCTTTGGAATTGGAAGCGAACACATATCAAAATATATCTCCGCTTATGATTATTTTACTGTTATATATACTGCGTATATACAATAAGTTTTTTATATGCAGTATTGCGCATTAATGCTAGTTTTTGCCTTTAGGATTTGGGTCTTTAACATGAACGAAATCGCCCCTTTTCAGGTTTAAAATTCGAAACAATGGATCCCACTATCATTTAACAATGAATAACGTTAGATATAATTATAAATAGCCGCGCACTATATTTACTAATTATTTTTTTCCGACCTGGAGCCATATATTTCACAATATATATCAAATAATAAAGTTAGAATGGATATTATCGGAATTCACGTGACGGTCACGTCAGAATTAAAAAAAAACGTGCTTTTGAATAACAAAATCCAAGAACTCGCGCTCGCAAATCCTCAAATATTAAAACTGTTATGTGACTTGCAAAGTCTAAACTGTAATAAAAAAAAAAATTATTTAGGTATTAAAGAAGCAAAAATTATATTAGACAAATTGGGTAATTGGCGTTGGTTGCAGTTTTATGTAAGTGAAGTTATCAACGTGTTTTTTGTCTCTACTGTTAATTATATAATGTCCTTTTAATATTTTTTTATTGACTGTAGTCAGCCTTAATACCAGATTTTTAAACATTTTCAATTTGTAAGTTTAGTTTAAATATCCGCATCTTTTTAATTCTTGAATTATGTAGTTGAATCGCAATTCATCTCAGGAGGTCTACGACAAAATGGTGCACTGGAGTTAACGAAAGGAAACTATTGGTTGCAGTCGTTTTCTTTATTAATTACTATTATACTTATCTAAGAAGGAGTTAATAGGATCAGTCTAATTGCAATCCTCCAATGATTCGATTCCAATGCTAGACGTGTTTATTAATCCGTCAACGGTTTCTTCGAACGCATAAGAGCAGAAAATGTCTAACTTTAGTTATACGGTCTTGGATAAATTACACACAATCATTACCATTTCTCCTTTATGATTTAGTATAAGCTTCAATAAAAGAATGTGTCGTCGATCGGGAAATATTTGTATCATTAATTTCATTACAAAGATACCCGGAGTTCTTTATGTTTTTATTTTTTTTTATTTTTTATTTTTTTTTAAAAAAAAAAAAAAAAAAACTAGCGTTCAAGTTAATCACATTTCCTTAACTGAATGATAAGCTAATCAATTTTTCGTATCATTTAAATTCATTATTAGAAATTACTCACTCAGATTTTAAAATTATTAAGTATTTTCTTTTTTGTAATTTTTTTTTAAATTTTAATGATTCAAGTAAAAAAAACAAAACTTAAATATAGATCCACCAATATATAATCAGAATATACGTGATCTCCACTTATTTCGATTTTCAAGGCGGAATTAAAAAAATTTGTTTTTGTAATAAGTTGCATTTAAAAACATCAATAAACATAATTATATTTCATTTTCAACAATTTTTTACTATTCTAATTCACATTATATCATATCATCTCCAATAACATGTAATATGGGATCTTTGATTTCTTCTGATGGCGAATCAGTAATAACTAATTTAGATTTTGTTGTAGCTGTCGTTGAATCTTCTGATGAAGGATTCGGTGATGTCAATGCTTCATTGATTGTATTTACTGTTTCCAAAGTTTTTTTCTTAGCATTTTGAATTCTAACAAATTATATTTATGTATATATACAGTATATTAATTATATAAATATTGATGACAAAAAAATTTTAAATAAAATTGACATACGTTTCAGATGATGCTAAAGAGGAAAGTCCTTTGCTCAAACTATGCCATGCACTTGATGTAATATCAGCTGTTTTACGTCTTGTCTGTTGAATTCTAGAGATAAATTATTAATATTAGACACATAATGTGCTGATAGAAATTAAGTAGACAAAACTCACGATTGCGAATTGGCAACATCTGTAACTACGGTTTTAATCTGTGTCAATTTTTCTTGTGTTCTAAAAAATTTTTTTTTTTTTAAAAAAAAAAAAAAAAAGAAGGAATTAAATCTTAACTTCAACGTCAACTACATTTTGGTACCAGGACTAACGAGATTAAATACGTACAATTCACTTTCTTTCACTTTCTGTATTCCACCAATAACACCTGCGATTCCTTTACTTAAACCGTCCATAAACCCCTTACCTTCTTCTTCTGAAGTACTTGCAAAAGAAAATGCTGATGATGGTGATGAAGGTGAATTACTATTACTTGCTTCATCAATATTTTTCGCAAAATAAGTTTCCCATTGTTTCTTTAATAATCGTAATTCCTCTTCATGTCTTTTTAATTCTTCTCGTAATTCCAAAACTTTACGTTCTTTCCTTGCTATAAAATGTAAGAACTCGGAATGTTGTTCAGAAGATGTTGCTGGTGTTAATCGAGAATTTTTAATTGCGAGCTCGGTTTCTATCTGGGGGGGAAAAAAAATACACGAGATTGATAATTATTAAATTTTTATAAAATCATATATGGGTTGATTGCTAGGAAAATCAGGTTCCGGGAATTTTTTAGCAAAATTGAGATTTTTATTGCATTTTAGTTTTTGATGTTATTAGATTAAAATGTATTAAGCTCTTTATTTTAGTCAAAAATTTCTCGGAACCTGATTTTCCTAGAAACACTCCCATATAATATTTTCTCACAGAGCAACGCTCACCTTGAGGTCTTTTTTATCAACAACAATTTTCTCTTCAGGTGATTTCTGTGAACCCAGCTTTACTTCCTTCACCGAACCTACTGAAAAAGGTCTTTCACTTCTTAACATTTAAACGAATATTATAAAAAGCAAGTTCAAAATACGAACATGAAATAAATCCATAAGAAAATGTTTAAACTGTATAACGATATATATGCAACTTTTATGGCGATTGCAAGATCCGTGTAACTTATCCCTAACATTTTAATAAATCATATGAAGAAAGAATTACGTTGTTCTTCCACGCGACCCCCAAATATATCTTATATTCCAAATAAGGTTAATACCATGTTGCGACACGTGTAGGATCCGTCCGATCTTCAATGATCATCCCCCAAAGACCGATTTTAAGTCCGATTTTGAATTTAGTAGAAGTTGCTAAAATATCAGAAGACATGTTAATCATTATCATCATCAAATGTTTCACAAGACTGAAAAAAAAGAATAAAAGAATCAAAAGGATGATCAACGCGTAACGCGAGTAAAAACTTTCTCTTTAAAAATTCATGATGCAAAACTTTACAAAACTTGGAAAAAAAATCATTGCGATTGGTCGTAATTTTAGGTATTAGCCGCAATAATTGATTGTTGTGCTCTCATTGTCCTTGTTCATATTTTATTTGTTTAAATAAATAAAATAAAATAAAATATAATAAAGTGAGCATGCAAAGGAACTCGGTAATGCAGTTCCAACAACTCCATTCTTCTTTCTTAAACCAACCTCCTCTTACCTTTTATCAGGTGAAGTAGAAATACCAAAAGGTTGTGTTGTTCATCATGAAGGTATGTTGTACATAATTATCTAACCTTATTTATATACCTGACTATATTATTGAGCTTTTTTATACCATTAGTCGAATTAGGTGTAGTAATTGGTAAAGGAGGAAGAGATATTCGAAAATCTGAAGCAATGGATTATGTAGAAGGTAATCGAAACGCGTAAACCTTGTTCCTTGCTAATAATAATGTGTTGACAATTTTTAAAATAAAATTCTATTTAGGATACGCACTTGGTATTGATATGACAGCGCGTAATCTCCAAGTAATTGTTAAATATTCACGTTATAATTCAACCTTCCTATACTTTATTTAGATTGTACCTGTAAATTGTAGGATGCAGCAAAAAAAAATGGGTTACCATGGAGTACAGCGAAAGGTTTTGATACATTTACTCCGGTCGGGTAAGTCGAGGACACTTTGCATTAATTTAAAAGTACAATAAATATTAACTTAATTTTTTTTTAGAGAATTTATTCCAAAATCTGAAATCAAAGATCCTCATAATGTAAATTTATGGCTTAAGGTACAACTTAAGATATTTTCTAATACAAAATTAATATGAAAGTGCCAATTCTCATGATTTTTATTATTATGATTAGTTAAATGAAGAAATTAAACAAAATGGTGTAACGAAAGACATGATATTCAAGATTCCTACATTAATCGAATATGTAAGCTCAATCATGACCCTAGAAAAGGGTGATTTGATTTTAACGGGTAAAGAAATATTTTATTTCCTTCAAACGTTATTAAAAGTATCTTGTAAAACATTTTAAATTTTTTTTTTTTTATTATTTATAGGTACACCTTCAGGTGTTGGACCTATTCTTCCAGGTCAAGTAATTACTGCAGGATTAAATGCTGATAATAAAAATATATCTACAATTAAATTTTCTGTTGTGGAAAGAGTTGGATTATTTGAATATAAACAATAATGATTATTTAAATTTAAATTCTTCAAACAAATTATTTATCTTTAAAAATAATTAATCTATTAAATATCAACCAATTAAATAACGATTTGCCTTATAAATAAATAAAGTAAATAAATCAATCGGTGTCATTCCTGACCAGATCAAGTACACTAGTATCTTCCTCATCTTCATCGCTCATATCAACCTCCCTTTCAAATAATGAAACGTCCACTGTAACATCTCCCTCTTCGATATACTTCATATCTGAATTAGCAAGAGATTCATCTTGTTCAAATAATTGTCGTCCTAAAAGGAATAAAAAAAAAAAAACTAATTAGAAAAAATTTGTTTAAAAAAAAAAAAAAAATTTCATGATTTACCTGTAAGTTTTAATTTTTTGGCTTCTTCTTTCTTTATAGCTAATAAATTTTTAGAAGCCTTCTCCTTTTCCGCTAATTTTTTATCAAACATTTCCTTCCATTCCAAAAATGATGCAACTGTGACCTTTGTTCCCTGAAATTTGGCTTGTTCTATCTATAAATCATGGAATAATCTTAAGAAAGGTATGTTTATCATGACGTTAAAACTCGAATGTTTATTTACCTCAATTTCTCTTCTAATTCGATCTTCTTCGTCTTTCTTTTTCCGATTATTTCTTTCCATCACAAATGTTGTTAGCAAATCTTTAAGCAATGATGATAATGTGAATACCATCGCCATTCCTAATGAACTTTGTGCCTTGAATTTCATAAAGAAAAAGGTTAATAAATTTTATTCCGTGAAAAATAAAAATTTTTAGAAATCTTTCAAAACAAATATAATATACAAACATATATTGGTATACCTCTTTCATCAGTTCTGAATGTAATTTCTCAGTTTCATCAGCCTCAATAGATCCATCTAGTGTATCGATTGATATTTCCGGAACTTCTTCCGGATAAGTTGGTGTATATTTTATATGTAAAGCTAAAGTCACTGTTATAATCGAACGAATAAGTCAGAATTGTTTAAACAAAAAAATTTTTTAATATATAGAAGTGATTAAAAGATAAAAATAAAAAAAATAATAATAAAAAATGATATAAAAACCTTACGCGGTGCTGTACTATCTGGTTCTTCGGGTTCAAGTCGAATACGAAATTCCCCTTCCGCAATTTCTATTAAACAGACAATTGAATATTCAAGAAATGTAATTACATAGAATAGAAACATTAATTCTTTCATAATTGATTGAAATTTACCCTCGAATTCATCTGGATAAATCGATTTTAACACCTCTAATTCTTGTTCTTGTTCCTCTTTATAATCTGTATAATTATTATAATATAATACAATTAAAAATCTTTTCAATTTGTTAATTAATTAAACATATAAAAACGCTTCTTAATTACCAGTCATTTTTTAAATTTATTATGAAAGAATTCAGAAAAATAGTTGATAAAATCCGATCTTTTTTTTGCGGGTCGAATTTTTATTTTAGCCATTCACCTTGCTTTATTTCACATGATCAGAAAATTCGCCGCAGCAAACCAAATTTTTTAATGTAAAGCAAGACAAGGTAAAATGGTAAATTGATCACGTGATCTCGAAATCAAACTATATTTAAATTTTTTTTTGTATACATCCAGAAAGATTAAATATTAGAAAAAGCAGTGGCATCCACGAAAATTTTTATGAATTTTTTTATATCAACTATAGAATATATATTATTATATAAATAAAGCTTTATTAAAAATTAATTATACAAAAAAGTATTTTTTAAATAAATTTAAATAAATTTTTATATATAAAATCAATTATAAAAAAAATTTTTATTATTATAATAAAAAATTATGATTTTAATAAATAATAAAATAATTTAGATTCTTTGTAATAGAAAAAAAACTACCAAAAAAAGTTTTTTTTTTTATATTATAAGCTAAATATAATTTTTTTTTAATAAAATAAGTTCAGATTTAAAGTTTTTTTTTTTTACTGTAAAGCTTCTATTTAATTAATATATAAATAAACATAATAAAATTTTAAAAATGCTATAATATATTTTTTAAATCTTAATTTAAAATTATTTTATTCTTATTAAACTTAATAAAAATTAGTATAATTTATATTTTATAAAAAATTAATATTTATATTTAAAACCTTTTTAAATCATTAATTAAATTTTATAAATTATTAACTGATTTTCAAGTTTAATTTTTTCAATAATATAAAGCTTTTTTATTTTATTTAATAATATTTAAACTATTAAAATTACCTTATATTAAATATTTATTAGTATTATCATTCAATTATATATATTTATCTATTATAAGTTATTAAAATCTAATTTTATAAATTATTAATATTTTTAATTATAAATAATGATATATTCTTATCATATTATTTTATTTATTTTTATTACAAATTATTTTATTGATTTTAGAATTTTAATTTTTAATTTGAATCTTTAATTTACTAAATTATTTATTTTATTATATATATTTTTTAAATTTATAAATTATAAAATATCTTTTTTTTATATATAATTTTATTAATCAATTATAAAAAGGATTTCTATCAACTAAAGGTAATATGATATAATAGTATTTTATATATATTTTAAAGTCAAAAAATTATAAAATAATATATCATATGATTTTATTAATAAAAAAATTATTATAAAAAAATTATAACATTAAGAGATTAAAAAATAATTAATTGAATAAAGGTTATAATAAATAAACAATTAGTCAAAATCATATGTTATAAATAGTAAATTATATAATACAATTTAAAGACAAATCATATAATAAATAATACAAATATATTATAAGATACAAATAAATTACTGAAACTATAAGGAAAAAAATAATATAAAAATCTTTAGAATAGAAAAAAAAATGATATTAAATATGTATAAAAGTTATAAGAAGCTAATAACATAAAATTATAAAATACTTTTATAACCTATATATTCAAAAAAGATTGCTAAAAATAACAAAAAAAAAAATATAAATATATTTAAAGTTATAAAAGAAAAAGAAGAATCACTATACAAAATATAATATAATAATAATATGTAATACGTAATATATAATAATAATAATATAATAATTTTTAGGATAAAAATATAAAATATTAAAAAAGAATTGAGAATAAAAATAAAAAATATGGAGAAAGAATTAGAAATAAAAATATCAATTATTATTTTTTTTTCAATAGTTTCAGTACTTAAGATACTAAGAATCTTTATAAGTAATTATATATATATCTAAGACTACTAGGTAGTCTAATACTAATTATTCAAACCCTTTAGGTTATGATTAGACATTACTAATCAGAATCTGCTTCTGAAATACTAGTCCAAAGTTTGCTTCTAGATAACACTCTTAAGAGTGAACTTCAAGGCTTCTAGACCTTAGAACTAACTATTAAATTTAGATAGAGGGAGTACTTTCAGCCACAAGTACTTACGTCACTTTTTTTTGTGCTTACCAATACCATATCTGGATTACTATTACCTCTGTCCAGTATTAGAGTATTTTTACATATAATCAGAAAGGCTTAGATGTTATTATTCTTATAGAATCTCAGAAAGGTAAGTGGTTATTATATTCATATAGTTAAATTTACCTAAGAATTGAACTTAACCTCTAACCTTAATGATAGCTCGATTGGATAATACTGCAGCAATATAATGCAATCTATTATTATCATAGCCACTCTAAGGTAATACCTAATCTACTAATTACTGGTTAACCATTTTCTTACTAGTGTAAAAGTCTGAATTTGAAGACGTGAAATAGTATCCATTACAGACCTGTCAGCGAAGATTAAGTTTCTGTTGATTTCTAGCTTCATTTACATTCACTTGTTCTGTAAGGTTTAGTATTTGAGCATGATCAATGTCAATTAATAGGTCAATCGATCAGTTTTTAATGCATATTAGTATATATGCCTACGTATTCAGTTACATATAAAATACTTATGAAAATCATTTAGTTTTATACCTCAGCTAAGGCTTGAACTTGTAACTATCACAGTGTAACTCACAATAGGAGATCAGTTATTACTAATTAAACTAGGAATGCTAGTTTCTTAGAAATATCAAATATTATAAAATAAATAAAAAATAAATAGAAAATTAATAATAAAAATGATATACTGTATTCCTTCAAAAATAAGCAACATATTTTTGCTATATTGTTGCTTATTTTCAGGTATATTTGACTAACTTACAATATACAATCTAAAATTCTGCTAATTTGTCAATAAATCCCATGATTATTAATTACATTAATCATCAAATATCACGTAAAATCGCAAAAAATTTTTTTATTCAACTAAAATACCACATTTTACAAAAAAAAGAATTGTTAAACGAAAGGTTATAAAAGTTAATAAATGTACATGAACTTCGTATTCTATTAAATAAAAAATACAAATCATTACCTATATAAAAGAATATGGTTACATTAAGGCGGTAGAGCTCTTTGATATCAATTATAGTATGATAGGACATTAGATAGCTGCTAGTTTAAACTGGACAATTGAAACAAAAGGAAAAAGTAAGAGGCTTAGCTCTGAACGAGAAGCCTTTTATCCTGAAGCTGAGAAGAGGTTTTATGAATGGATTATAGAATAAAAAAAGCAAAGTTTCGCGATTACCTATACAATAATATGAAGTAGAATGCTAGAATTTTAAAAAACTAAATATGAAGATTCTTTATGATAAGTCAAATTTTAAAACATTTCACCACTGGTTAACTGCTTTTATGAAAAGATATAGGTTAGCATTGCGAAGAAAAACTAGAATATCTCAAAAGCTTTCTAATCAAACTAAAGAGTAATTAGAAAAGTTTCACCAATTTATTACTAATCTAAAAATTAAAAAGTTATTTGAATTAAGGAATATTTATAATATGGATAAAATATCTATTTGGTTTGATATAGCTGGTAATTTTATCATCAATTCAAAGGATGAATAATCAGTTCATATTCACATAACAGGTAATAAAAAAAATAGGTTTATAGTTATACTTATATGTACTGCAAGTAAGCTTTTCTTTTTTTTTGTAAAATCAAAATTTATTCACTAGTACTATTAATTCATTATTATAGATGAAACTAAACTTCCTCTAATATGTATTTTAAAGGAAAGTGAAGAACAAATTTCTTCTAGTATTATTGTTTAATTCTAAATAAATAGTTGGATGGACTCTGATTTAATGGTAAAATATGTAGATTATCTCAATAATATAAGAATAAAAAACAGGTCTCAAGGAAATCTAGCAATACTTGTATATGATTCTTTTAAAGGTTATTTGAAAAAATCAGTAAAAAGAAAGTTTCATGAAATTGGCTTTGATCTTGCAGTAATTCTAAGTGGGTTGACTAGCATTTATCAGTCACTGAATGTTGTAATAAATAAACCATTCAAGGATAATCTTCGTAAAGAGTAGCATATTTAGATAGTTGATAATAATGTTGGAGAAACTGCTAAGGGAAACCTTTATCATACTAGATTTAGTGATATATGTTTGTAGGTTAAAAGATTTTGAAAAAGAATTTTTGATGAAATTATTATAGAATGTTTTAAAACTTGTAAAATATCAATTGATTAGGATTCTGATTTAGAGATCCTTGATAAAGATGATATCAATAGTAGTGATGACATTGATAGTAGTGATAATATTAACGATGATATTGAAGATGATATCAATGATCATGTTTAGGATATTAAGTTATTTGGGAGTTGCTTATTTTTGAAAATTGCTTATTTTCAAAGAAATACAGTAATAATATAAATTTAATAGAAAATTAAAAATAAAAATAAAATAAGAATCAATTTAAGAATTAAAATAAAAAATAAAATGAGAAAGAAATAGAAATAAGAATAAGAATTAGAAATAAAAGTAAGAAATATTATTACAGTCAGTTCTTTAAGATATTTATAAGTAATAAGCAAAGCAATATTTTTAGATGGTAAGCAGAAGATTTATTTTATAATTATTTTAAAAGAATGTTGATTAATTAACAGTTTATTTAATAATAATAATAATAGAGTATTGTCTTAGTTAATACTCTATACTATACAAGTATATTAAAGAGATTAAAATAAACTATTTTATAAAACTACTTATTAGACATATTGTTAAGCTAAAAAAAAATATCCTTTATTTATATAAAATAAAATATATAAAGTTATCAAAGAAATAAAAGAAATAAATATAATATATGAAATA